ATATTAACAGTAAAGAACTGAAATCATAACATAATATTAATATACTATAAAAGCATGTAACAAAGTAATTGACGGAAAATTATCCCCACTCCTTCTATTTTTTCTGACTTCTGCGGCGTATTTCCTGACGCGGCGTATATACCGGGTTTACCCTATACTAAATTAATTTTAAGAATTTGGTTGCGGCTGTTGAGGACTCTGTGAAGTCGAAACTGTCCGTATATACCGGTATTATTATTATAATAAATATATATATGGGTCATTCCACCAAATAAAATCATTTTTACGGGGCGACCCCCGCCGATTTTTTTTAAACTTCGTAAATATCTTCTGTACATTATAAAAAAAATTTCCTGAAAGTTTGGGCCCTTATTAGACAGCCATTTTGAAATTATGATTTTTTGAATTTTTGAAAGAATTTTTATTTCAACTTTTTCATTAATTTTTTTGACGTAGAAAACTTTTTTATAACAATTGGAAAAAGATAGCTTTTTATAGGAAAAATTCTCAGCTTTTCAATGAAAGTATTCATTTTTTGTCATACGCAACAGAAGACCCTTTAAAATTCAATTAAATTGAAAAAACCGATTTTTCTCACTGTGCGGCGTGTGTTATATCAAATTTGAAATTTTTTTCTGAAAGCTGAGAGTTTTTCCTATAAAATATGTCATTTTCATGATGTGCATATTTTTTGTTTAATCACAATTAATTATTGTTTAAATACTTATTATTGATTATATGATTATTCAAAACAGTAAAATAATATACATATGTCATAAGATTTTAGGGAATGTTTTAGCAACAATCAAACTATCTACAATTTTAATAAGATTTCGCAATTTTTCAGAACTATATACGTCATGAAAAATATTCCTTTATAACAAATGATGTCTTAAAAGTTTGTGGAATATTTTGTGACAAATTAATTTCAGATTCGAATAACTTTAACGTAGATTAACGTTGTAATTTTATACAGTAAGTTGTAATTAATTAGGACATAGTTTAAAACATGAAAAAGTATTTATGTGAATGTTTGAATAGTTCGATTTATTTCAATAAT